TCGTCTTCTTGCATCTCGTGTCTTTGACTCATGCTGGGCTTATTGAAGGCTTATTGACTTGCCAGTTGGTTTCAGACCTTTCTGAACGGGATCCCGTGCCCAGAAGGATGTTGTCAAGACAAAATTTGATTCCATATCACACCATCCGGCACAGCAGCTTGGTTGAACGACAGGCGTCTGCTGCATCGGTTTGGATTGTCAGCTTGCTGATCTTGGCAAGATTTTTTTCTCCATCAGCAGCAGATCCACATCATGGCTCGAGCGCAGCGGGGTCCTTCGAAGCACCTGCACGCAAGACATTTGCTGAAACACCCTGGTCTGCAGAGTAACATTACTCCGTGCCGGGTCTGACTTGCAAGTCGAGAATCTCACATGTCTTCCGCTGCAAACCCTAACTTCTGCTCCGGCTGCAGAACGCAACTAATCACGCTGAAGCATAGCGAGAACACGAAAAGTTGAGCACACAAGGAAAGCTGCAAAACTGTCATGCACTAACTGCCATGCCTGTGCCAGATATAATTCGACATGGCGCAAGGCCTACAAACGACGTCCACGTCGTCCACACTTTCTGCGCGTGCAGTCCGTGGGAATTGGGGTCACATCCTGACGAGAGAAAGAGAAACGGAGAGAGAGGTGTGGGAGAAAAGAAAGCGCGAGAGGAGCGGATCCGGTTGGGAACTTGGCGGCACGGAACTCACTTGGGAAGTCTTTCGTTTTGGGGGTGTTTACACTAGCCGTTCCTTACCTTTGAATAGGAAAGCCTTGTTCAAGCCTCTGATAAGACACCCTCCAACCCACTGGTGCTTTCAGCTGGGAAGAGGGGTTGCCCCTCTTCGAGCTTTTGAGAATGCACCTCATTTTTCTTCGAGTACAGTGGAAAAACCCTAACATGTTTCGGAATACATCGTCCGCTTCTTGATTGAGAAGACAGAAAGCAATTAGGATATGAGAAGGGGGAGCAGGGCCTAGTCAGTGTCTTCATATTTACTGAAAGCAACAAGACCAAGTCACGCAAAAGAGTGGATATGAGGAAAAAGAAGTGAATGATAGATCAGGAAGAAAAGGAGTCATCGAACGGTTCGTCAATGAAACACCTTCCATTCTCAGTAGATGTACCAGGAAACTTATCTGGAATCGGAAGAACTTGAAAAGCCATCGAAACGGAAAACGAGTCGGCTTTACCCAAAGACAAGCACTTAGCCAATAGGCTCGGCCTATGGAATGATTAGGTGGGTATCCATCCATAACCGTGAAACCATTCAACCATTCAACCAATAAACCAATCTCTTCATTTCATGGGAGGGAATGCGCTGGTTGCATGGCTTTGAGTGCAGAAACCTTGGTTTAACGGCTTGAGGGTTTAAACGGCCTAGCTTAGTGAGAACTGATTAATTGCTAAGTGGGTTAAGGGTGCATGTGTGTGTGTCCAGATGCTAAAAATGCATGGCTTAGGGCCAGAGGCAAACGAGACCGAAGGCCGGAAAACCAAACAAGAAACAAGAAAAATCACCCAAGCTAAGTAGGCCTCCAAGTATTTTTCGTAATGAAGTAACCGGACTGAACTTCGACCCTCCTGAAGCAGTGTCATGAAAAGAAGATCACAGAAGCATCGTTTGCGGCCTCAATCCGGCCGATCTTCATACCCGAGCGTGCAAGTGCTCGCAGGGCACTCTGCGCTCCTTCCGCCATCCGCAGTGGAATAGTTTAAAGGCCCGAGCAGCGACATCAGCTACCTTGTGATCTACTGCGGATGACCAAAGCTCCTGGTCCGGGTGTTCGTGTTTTGGTGCCCCCAGTCGCCCGCAGTTTGATGTGCAAAGCTCCAATGCCCAGCTCCTGAAAGCGACGGGCTGCTTGTCGCAAAAAGGCATCACAACACGTGTTGCTGGTGCACCGCACACTGCTAAATCCCATGCCGCTGAACCGTCAAGATTGATTCACGAACGTCATGATTGTATGGCGCACCACAATGTCATTGTCCCTCCTTGCAGCGTGCGGCGACATCCTGTGCTGCAAGCATGGCCGCCTCAGCTTGCTCGACACCGAAGTAACTGACTTTCTCGGCCATCTTCTATGACAATACAACTCACCGCATCAGCAAGCCTGAAACATCTCAACGCAGCATGTCATGTCTCGAAACGATATGCTCGACGCTGCTTTGTTCTCATGAGGGTGCTACTGTATGTCATGCACTGGAAGATGCCCCAATGCAGCTGCACAGCTGCATGCTCATACACATATTGTATGGGACTGCTCATCCATCGATGGAGTTTCCGGTACCAAGCCCAGACGTGGTCTTCGAACTTAGCAAATGTTCCTATGTTCAGTACCTCAATCAAGCTCACCCAGCACGCATACTGAGCAGACTTGACGGATTGAGTTGGACAGCAGCTTCGATGGCAAGTTGACCCGACGAGGATGAAGCGCCTGTCCTACTGTGAAGCCACCTGCCACCGAGCACAGGGATGTAGGACTTAGGGTTCGAGGGCTACAGGTTTAGAGATGAAAACTTCAAGCATAGGCCTCGGGCTTCTTGAATCGCTGAGGGCTTTTGTGTTCAGAAGCTTTGGGATTTGGGAACTGAAGAGGGAGAGAGAGAGGGAGGGAGAGGGAGAGAGAGAGAGAGAGAGCGTGCCGGCGATTGTAGGGCTGTTTGGGATCGATCACTGTTGACCTTTAAGGGGTCACGCGAACACACAAAGTGACGAAGAGAGACATAGGGCTTAAATCGGAGATGCCGAGAGATGGGGACGCGAGGTGCCGAAAGAAATAGATGAGTGAGAGAAAGAGAATGAGAGAATGAGAGAATGAGAGAATGAGAAAATGAGAAAATGAGAGAATGAGAGAATGAGGAACGCGCACGAGATGAGAGGATCAGAGAACAAGGAAACAGAGAGAAATTTGCAGAGAGAAAAATATGTAGGAGATGAAGATGAAAGAGCGATACAGAGAGATGGAAATAACCGATGATGGAAAAATACATGAAATGGAGGATAGGGAGCCACTTGAGGTTAGGGAAGCACGTGAGAGAAATAGATGAAAGGGAGAGGTGCATGGGAGATGAGCAGAGATGAGAGAGGAATCTGACAGAGAGAGACAATGAGAGAAGGAGATAGACAAGATAAAAACATACGCACGAGATGCGAGGAAAAGAGAACAAGGCGAGATGCAGGGAGTGAGGTACGAGAAGAAGATGAGACAGAGAGATGTGGTAGATGGAGGTGAACGATGAGGATGAGAGAAAAACCGAAAGGAATAGGTGAAAGTGAGATATGTGGGAGATGACAGAGATGAGCCAGGAGAAAGAGAGAACGACCACGAGACGAGGGCACACTCGGTGCGCGAGGGGTGTCTGGGTCCCTCAAGGCCCTCAAGCCTTGAAGAATAAAGAAAAAAAAGGAGAGAGCCAGAGAGGCAGAGAGAGAAATAGATGGACGAGAGATACAGGCCAAATGTGCACGAGAAGAGAGGACAAGAAAAGAAGATATGATAGAGCGCGGGACGATACGCATTAAAGCAGAGCTCTGTATAAATCAATTCCACCAGTATTTGCCTCTGCAGGACTCAACTCTTTTTTCTGTCCCTACACTGTTGTCGTCCGTCGCTGCTGAGACAAACCTGTTTCTTGCCTAAGTTTGTCATTGTCGTGCTTGCTTCCTGCTCTTCGTGGATTGTGTTGAATGCAGGGGGGTGCCTTTTTGTTCGTTGTCTGCGACGGCAAGCTGCTCAATGTTTCGGCTCGGTCTTAGCATGTTAACTCTTGCGGTTTGCTCAAGCTGGGCTGCACAAAACTGTCACCCCCCACCCCCCCCCCTTTCCCTGCTGACCGGGGCTCGTGCCCTAAAGAACACGATAACGTTCGAGGATTGCAGACAAAAGAAGAGCTGAGACAACAGACGAGACAGTTTTGCAAAAACCGTCTCTGCCCTCAGCCGGCTACTGCCATGAATAAAACATCCACTGCCCTTGGAGGTTGTGCCTTTGCACTGCTGAGACGTGGGCGTATGGTGACGATTCGTCTCGATCAGCCTTCACCTCGACAGCCATTTGAGCGTCTTGGATTCGAGGAACCCTGCTAACTTCACGACCATATCAGAATCAACAGAGGCGTGCGGGTCTAAGCAGTGCATCAGTGTATCCTAGCAAAAGGCCTTCATACCTCCGGTTACCCGCATAATGGTTTCACGGCCGGAGAGGTCCGTCACGTGGACGAAGGTGTCCTGTGACGAACAAGATTCTTTCACTTGTCATGTTCGGGTGGCAGCTGAACAACTCACAGATGAACCCTCCCCAACCGGTCGTTGAAGGAGGCATAGATGTGCGCCACACCGAACACGATCTGGCGCGAAACTGAGATGTCTCTCCCCACCGTACCTTCTAGGAAGCATTTGAAGCTTCAACCCAACCTCAGCGTGACAACGTCAAGCAAACCGCTGCTAGGTTTCTGGATTTACGCAATGTTCATGTCCAATTCCTTGGAGAATGCCCACACATTTTGGAAGGCGGGTGAAACCAAATGCAGCGGGTGAAACTCTGGATGAGAACGATTCTTGGTCACAAGGGACAGCACTGCCACCAATGAAAGAGGTAACATAGCAACACTAAGCTGACAATTCGAACTGCATAAGTGTGACCTCAGCACGGGTCACTTGCTGTCCACCAGCAGCCCGATAGGCTAATTCCCGTAGCGGCTTGCCAGAAAGTCTGGAAGATGGCAATTCTCCTGTTGCTGATTCAAAAGGATTCTTGGCATATGTGACTTAGAACACCAAAGCTACCACATCAAATATGCAGGACAACGCCGTTTGCCGTCCTCATCATCAGCTCTCTGGTAGAAACAAGCCTGCAGGCACTGCGTCTGACAAGAGGCACAGCTGCAACACCGCTGAGGCCAAACCGAGGCTGCTAACTTTCAGCTCGCGCGATTACCAAACTGCTCTGTTTCGCTGAGCAGGGCTTCTGCCTCTGAGACCCTGGCCACAATGGCCCTGGTGATCCAGCTACGGTCCAGCAACCTGCCCCGCGACTTAAGACAGCGGAAGCTACACGCAGGAAAGGCGACGAAATCACGTGATTCCCGGGTTCCCAAGGCCCCAGCCCGAGTCCCTTCATAACCCTAATTCCGCAAACCTCCAAATCCAAAACTCCACCCCTGACCCGGCGCTGAGACCGCTAACCCTGAAGACGTCTGGAAGGGGATGGCACGGGCACATCTTGACCCTTGATGCGTGCATGGAGGGGGGTCATTGAAGTGAGGGAGACGGTGTTGCCAGACCCCACTGCGCCAGATATCATCCCAGAGCAGTCTTGTGAATCTGAGCCCAAGGCCACAGTGATGACATGGGTCGGCCTCAGGTGTGCCAGTGGGCGGCAAGCATGAAAGCCACGCATGCAGAGACACTGATAGGCAAGGCACGAGGCATCGTAAGCTAAGCTCACCAAGCAGTCGCACGTGTGCTTGCAGAACATTCACTGCACTTGGTCCAAAGCATTCTTGCAAATTCTTGCTGATGCCACGATGTGACTCAGTGCCAGACGGCACCTGCAGCTCCTCGTTGACCTTCGAGCCCAAATACCTGAATCTCGATGGCTACATGTGTTGCACTTGCGACTGTTGCTGCTGCATCCTTGCTCCACTTTTGACTTCCGAGCTCTTAAACTCATGCTGCCATTGCCACTGAGAGGCTGATCTAGGAGCGCCTTCAGCTCTTCATTCTGCTTCTGCATTGTGACCTCAGTCATATGCCATGGACAAAGCGTGTTCTCAGCCGACCAGAACCTGAATTCGCAAAAATGGACGGAAAGGCGCAGACTGCAGAGTCTATGGCCTCTCAAGGGACTTGGGGACTTGTGGGGCCACCAGGAAGCCATGCTCCACATCTGCTACACAACTGCCTTGCTGCGCTTCTGCAGAAGATCATAGTATCGCTTCAAGAAGACGTCCAGAGCCTGCTGGTGATCCGGGTCAGAGCTGCAATACATGCAAATACAGGGAGAGGCGCGATGCAAGCAGCCTTCCAAACACGGAAGTTCATGTCTGGGATCACATGGCCTTGCGAGCTGCCGGACCAGATGTTGGCCCAGAGATAAACGACGAAGTGTGAAAGTGCAGGCAGGGGGCCATATGATGCTCAGGCAAATAACAAAACCTCTCCAGAAATCACTCCAGGGCTCGGACCCATTCGCTCCCAGAACTTCCTTTCTTCTCGTCGTCTCCGTGCCTGCGCGAGTCCAGCCCTCGAGGCTCATACCATGCAAGATGCACAGGAAGCCAAAAAAAAAGAACACAGCACCCTTCTGCACGGGACGGCCTTGCGATCCGCCTCGCTCTCGCTGCCCAGCTGCTGGGTCCGCGCCTGAAGCTCCAAACCAGTCTGCGAAGGTTGAGGTTCTCCCCACTACCACTCGCCACTACCTTTTGCAATTGTCGCCCGTGACCTGCTCAAAAGCATTCCAACCCCTTCATGATGGCCAAGCCTTCTTCTTCTTATCCGGAGCCACATCGGCTATCCTCATGTTCTCCTTCTCCTGTTCGAACAGAGAAGTAGCCCATGCAAGCCCTTGGGCATCACGTAGACGCATGCACACTTGAGCACCTCTATGAAGTCTTTCAAGAGTTGGAGGACATCATCGGGTTCCACCTCAGCGAAAGCAAGCACCATGTGTGGGTGATGCTCGGAATACAAGCTTTTGACAGCATCCCACTCTGCAAAAACAAACGAAAAAAACCGCAAGCGACTTGGAAACTGTCCAGGGCCAGGGCCATTAGTGCTTCATCGTCCTCTTCCTGACCACGGTAGAAGACCTGCACCAACCTGGAGCAGTAGTCTTAACATGCCTCGACCAGAGTCTCCTGAGCACATCTCAATTTCAGATCATCTCAGCACTGGAGACACGTTTTGTTTGTGCGGAACCACCAAGGCCCCAACAGATCCACGTCTTGCTGCCCTTCCACGCCAATGTATCGCAGAAGCGCATCAATCTGCAAGACCTTCCAGAACGCGTTCCCCATGTCCCATGCAGATCCTATTCTCGTGCTGCAACCGCATCAACCTCATTCCGCTCCGACTTATGCCGGAATTGCTTATCTCGAGCCGACCCTCCTAATGTCCATGAGTTTCCAAAATACCTCCTTTCAACTTTGGGACAACATCTCAACATCTGAGATCTTATCATCTGACACTGAAAACGACCCCGCTATTTCCTCTTTCACGCTTCATATACAATACCAATCTTATCTGGTATACTTCTTTCAAAAATGGGTGATATTCATTCGAGTGCACTTTTCTTTGAGTGAATATTTGCAGGAAATCCTAATTTCCATCAACATTTATCTTGCTTGTGGGTTGCATTTGAAATCACGTCCAGAATAGCTACTGGGATTTTAGAGTTAATGCTCGTTAGCATCCAATCAGTGATCTTTGCCATGTCATCTATTTCTCAACTTGGAAGCCTTGTTTGAGGGCATCTTTTGTATACTGCAGGTTCAGAAAGTTATACAAGAGCTTCTTTACAGGAGTTATAATCATATCCTTACCAACTGAGAAAAGGTGCCTTAACTGGTTTCTTACCTATCTTCGAAATCACCATGATAACAACTTAAAACTCATTCTTTCTTCTTCTCACTCCATCTCCGAAAACCAGCCAGGGCGGCATCGCGTTGCTCCGGAGGCAACTCAGCTAGCTGGTCCCGGACCTGCACTCAAAGAATTTGTGGGTTCCAAATAGCGGACTGACGCTTTGAGAACCTACAAGCTTCTAAGATTCCAGGATCCAAAAGGCGGGCAAACAGCACTGTACAGTAAGAATGCAGTCAAAGCATCTCACAGCTGCGATTTTGCTTTGCTCTGGTGCTTGCATTGCCTGCTCAGCCTGAAACAGGATGCGGAAAACGTGCAACCAAACAGGTTGTACATCCCTGCGAATCTGAGCGAACCATCTATGTACAATCCAAGTGCTGCACCTCACCTATGAGCAGGTGACAGCAGGTGGGTCCCAGGGAGCACGACATTGCCAATCTCCGCCCTCAGCGCGGGACCAGCTTGTCGGACCATCTCGGGCTTCCACGAGTAGCGGTTCTCCGCCATCGTTGGCCATTGCGCTGCCAATGAATTAAGAAACTACGCATAAGTGGCAGCAATGCGAACAGCCAGTCGGGCGGAGCCACTTATGGCACAGGCGAAACCTGAGTACAACAACACAATGCGTTTGACACACTCTGCAGGCACCATGCAACCAGCTGTCCTAAAGCCACCGAAACTTGAGCATTGCTGAGCAAAAGTGCTCTCGTCTGCCCGCAACAGTGCTCGGCGGCCCGGTGAGGCATCGAAAACCGAGCTGCCCTTCCTCAAATGCTTGCAGCAGGGAGGAACACCTAGAACTTTGCTGGCTGGCCCCTGCAGCCACTTCCCATCAGACTTGGTATGACTGCCCTGCAAGGCACGTACCAGCCGCGCAGCCGCTCACAAAACTCGTCACCGACAGAAAACTGATACCTGGAATGGCAATGAATGGCAACGGCAAAGAAAGGCAGATGATGGCAGGTGCCAGGTCAAGGCTTAGCCCAAGCTCTTTGCTATGTACTTCTATGTGCTTCTGGGTTCGCTGCTCGATCTGCACTGCCAGGCAGCCGGCCCGGGCCAGACGCTGCTCCGCTGCGACAGCAAGGGCCGAGGCCACACCAGAGCCCTGAAGGGACGAACAGAAGAAAACTCGGGAGAAAGCGAAGGTCCCGAAGAACAACATAAACGTTTTGCCATTTCGTCCTACCTTTCGGCAGTCTAGGGATCACAAAAACTCCCGATTCTAGCCCAGTTGAGCACGGTGTGCCTGGGCTGAAGGATCGACGACCTCGGAGAACCGGAGAAAGTCTCAGAGCATATCAGAAAGATTCAGTATCAGAACTGTGCCAGGTGCTGGACGGTGAAAACACACTGCCACCAGGCAGCCATCAGGCCCCAGTGACCACAGCCACAGCACGTAAATGGTGGCTGTATTGTGGAGGAGCAGCCTCAGCTTAGAACTTTGCAGCGTCGCATCAGGAAGGGTGCAAGATGCCCTCACCGAACTCCTGCGCAGAGGATTTACTCTGTCGCTGGGGCGCAGCCAACAAGCGTAGAATCCCGGAAGGCCAAATGTAAGACTCTGTTTGCGCAGCCTGCTTGTGCATGAACATGCATGAACATGCATGACATCGGGAAGTGGTACGAGTACAGCGGGTTGCCATGTGCCGTATGAAGATGATCGATGTGCACCTCCGCCATCTCCCATGGCCACTCGACTGCGAACATCATGCTCGGAAATGCGCCTGTCAACAAACATCCGCAGAGAGCCCACTATGTCACTATGTGACACACGGCAATTGCGGTTCCCTCGGCTTTGACGATTGGTGCCAGAGCTGCGAGCCTGTAACCATAGGCTCGGTTCACCATGCTGACAATCTGTTGAACCAGGTTCGGGTCCTGAAGCTTACGTATCGAAAACGATCGAAATCAGAGTAGTCACCGATAGAACGGTCAAACTATTGTCATTTTTGACTTCTGTGGCCTGAGCTTCCATGTCGCTTGTCGCGATCCGCACCAGCACCTTCCGTGTTGCCTGACCACGTGTGTGCTTTGCCCAGCATGGCAAATATGTAAACCCCGTTCACAATCAGTGCATGATCGGTTCAATCTGCCGCCTCTGCCTCTTGAGAGATTGGGCGTGCCAGCGCAGCACTCCCGTCGCTGCCAGAGCTCTTACGCCGCATGGCTGATGTTAAGCCACTGGAGCTGAAAGAAGCCAACGGTACAACCGGGTACAGTATCCACGCACAAAATTTCTCAGCTCGCTGGCATAGAAAGCATGCGACTCCACTGTGCCGTGTTGCATTAAACCCAACAGGGCTTCGAAGTCACATTCTGCAACAAACCCATGCCCATGCCCATGCCCATGCCCATGCCCATGCAGAGGCAGAGCAGGTCTCGGCCTTCATGTCCAGCAGAAACTGCGTCTCTTCTTTAATGAGGTCCAGGACCTCGTCAAAGACACTCCACAGACTGTCCTCACTGCATCTACAAAGCTGCTCACACCGCATCTACCGGGCCAACCTTCTTCACCTTCGTTGCTGAAAACTTTCCGGAGTCAGACTGCCCCATTTCCGCCGACCTGGCGACAATGAAGGGCACACACACACACACACACACACTCTCTCACACTCTCTCACACTCAGCACCAAACGGACGAGAATGAAGAGCTTTTGTTTAGGACATGCAGATCGGCTGTCGAAACTCCGAGGTAGGCACTCCAGTGCCGTGCTTTTGCCGGTGGTGGTGCCTGACTCTGAGAAAGTGTCCAACTCCTGCAGCACAACAACCCAAGGGGGACATTGAAACCTTTCAGAAAGATGATGAGAACTGAAGCCGGTCCTGCTGCAGCAGCTCCTCCTTTGGAGGGACCCACTCATGGCCAAGCCTGGCCGGCATCAAAGTCTCACGTAGCAAAGATAGCTAAGCCGACAAGGATGCCGGGATGACTGCTGCTCATGAAGAAGCCGATCTGCCTCCAGAACCTAGCAGCAAAACCCTGCGAGCGCGACAGTCCAGAAAAGACCCAAGAGAGGCAGGAAACGAGACATCTTACAAAGATACAGTTACTAACCCCTCAACCCCCCCCCCACTCCCCGGCCTTAGTCATAAGACCCCGAACCTCGGCTTCGTTCATTTCCCAGACCTCAGAGCTTTCTGAGCTTTCTGAGCTTTCTGAGCTTTCTGAGCTTCTGTGGAGCAGCTAAAGCAGCAAAGCGAAAACCCCCGCCTCTCTAAACTTTTTCTCATCAGCCTGCTCGAAGTGTTGAAACTTCTCTTGCAAGTCCTGTCAACATCTTGCACAGAACACCTCACAGGAAATGCACCTGGACCCTTTGCGATGGGTTGTGATGTCGTCAAACCTAGTCGGCCATTTCAACTAGTTCACACTTGAAGTCAGCTTGCACAATGTCCTTGAACTGCTTGGTCAAGCGCTTGTATTCTTCTGTGAGCTCGTGATTGTGAGTCTTGTACCTCTACAGCTGTACAGCACCGAGCACCAGAAGATTTTAGAAAGTGTGGAACCCCTCAGGGCACTTCTGGTCCAACGTATTGTACCGACTCATCAAAGTATTCCTCGGCGAAAAGACATATGGCATCGCTGATGAGGTCTACAGCACTCAGTCTCATACAGGCAGCACATCTATCAACCAAAGCCCCGAAAGCCGTCTGGATCATCTAGGTCTCCGACAGAGTCTCGCGGAGCCGGTTCAAGCGGTTTTTGTACGAAGACCTCGGACAATCGACGGCAGTGTAGACATTGACTGAGCATGAAACCATCACGTCCACTTACATTGTACATCGACGGGCAGTTCTTGTACGCGCGACAAAGTTGAAACACTGCACACCGAATCATGCCAAGGACTCCACCTCGAAGGCGCAAGGAATTGCGTGAAATTTTGTTCGCTCATGAGCAGCAGGACAAACGCCAAGTTGCCTTCTAGACTGTTTGTCACTGAGCGCTTGGCTGAATGGCTGTGTGCTCCTTGTTTCGCTCAGACAACACCTTGCAAAAGCGACTGCACGAAATAACAAACGTCAAGACTTTCCGGACAGGGTTTATTTGTTTCCTTGCCTGGAGGTTGTACTCCAGCTTCTCCTGTTGCAACGCATCTCACGGGGTATATTGGTATATACGATCTGTTTCTTGGAAGACTGGTGAGGCTAGCGGCCTGGCCACACCTCTCCGACATTCGAGAGCTGCCGTTCAGCAACCACGCCAACATGCCACAACCAGCTAAGGCCCGCGTCCTTGTTCAAAAGGTATGTGGCAAGCATCTTTTCCAAGTGCTGCTCTAACTCCTCCGAATGAACAGGGGATCGGATTGTGACGACTGGAATGGATGGGTTGACATCCCTGTGCCTGAATGCCCTTCTCCAGTGCAATTTTGCCTGCAGCGAATCGAAACTGCCTCTCGTTCCCTAGGTGGTATCTACAACCTCCGAGGTGCTGCCGACATGCTTTTTCAAACCTTGCTAGTACATCACCAGTCTCAGGACAGCACACTTGTTGTATCCATCTGCATTGTCTGTGCGAAGTTCTTCTATCTGCTGCTGGAATCCTCTTTCGCGTTCCTCTCCAGCAAACCAACAACCCATGACAGCAATAAGGAGGACAGGTTCAAAGTTGTTCGTAAGCAGAGTTCAAACCGGCCTGCCGTCTCTCGAGGAATTCATTCTCCTCCATCTGGCGGCGCTTCTCAAAAAGTGCCTGACCAGGGCACATCAAGGGTTGGCGGGAGAAACCATTCTGAGAAACCCTTATTTGTGAGAGCTTGTATATGCATTTTATATGCATCATATATGCATTATATATGCATTATATGTTGTACCTATAAAACATGTATTTGTCAGCTGCTTGGCGAGTCTGCAGCTCCAACTTATGTATATATTTATTTGTTCATTTATTTGTGTTTTTATTTATTTTCTATTTGCATTTGTCTATATTATATACGGACTTTTTAATGGTAGAACTGCAATTTTTGAATGTTGTAATTGTTTTGCTCTGCATCCATTTATACGCAATTCATATTGAAGGCTTGGGAGCTCTGATTCGCGGCGCATGCGGGGCCGGGGGGGAGGTTGGAAATAGCGCATTCTCCTCTGCCGGGAGGGGGATTGGAAATAAGGGTTTCTGCTCCCGACGGGGGGTTGGAAATAAGGGTTTCTGCTCCCGCTCGAGGAGTAGGGCGTCTGGAGTAGAAACCCCTATTTTCACATATAGGGCGTCTGGAGTAGAAACCACTAATTTCGCAGGGGTCCGGAAACAAGGGTTCCTGGGTCTGAGGGCTGCTGCGTTTCCGGAACGCACTAAGGAGTTTTGTGGCTCCGTGTCTTGTGGGGCTTCGGGCTTGCATTTCACGAACAGACTCCTTGCTGCAGTCCTAAAGCTCTCCGGCGCGGGCGATCTCTGCGATGTACATCACAAGACTTTGGGACTAGACGAGACTGCTGCGCCCGTCCTACCGGGAACAGGTAGAAACCCTTAAGCCCCATAAAATACATAATGCCCTATATGTTAGGGTAGGATTAGGGGTTCCTAACAGGGGTTCCTCCCATTTTCTCTTGAGCACAAGGCCCGCGAGGGGCACCGTAAGGTTCGCAGCCAAGGAAACAGCTCTTGGCTTCCTTGTCTCAGCTTGTGTTGGGAAACTCCGACGTGCGGTTCTCAGTGTTTCTTGAAACTACACCAGTTTTGAAAACTGGGCTGATGGATTTGACACAGCGATTCGCTCATACGCTACCAGTACCTTAAAGAAGTAAACGAATCGAAAGTCAAGGCACCTCAATTTCTGCTTTGTTCTTCTGCAGCATGTCTTTTCGTTCGTCCTCGAAAGCTTGCTCGATATCTTCCAACCTCAGGAAAGCAAAAGCAAGTTACGCCTCTGAGACTCTCTTTCAGCACAACCCAGCGAGGCTCCAGCTCTTTCTCATAGTGCTGGCGCAGTGCATGATACTGCTCCCGCATCTTGGAGACTAGAGTTGTGATATCCACACTTTGCCTGAGCAGCTGCTTTTATCGAGACTTTGGATCATCGGCTGCTAACGGAGGCACGAAAAGTAATCACCTTTTCCAAGACTGCAGCGCAAAATTTCACACCTCAGGGCGGCACTGCTTTAGCATCTTGATGTACTCTTCATCTTTATTCTTCAACTCTGTCTTGAAATCCTCGATCCGCCGGTCTTTGGACCTTGATTGGCGCAAAGCGATGTACCCTTAGAACCAGCTTCGACAAGTGACATGACATGGCTGGAACCAGGAATGCTGTCCGCTCGTCATGAAAACAGAAGATGATGCCAAACGACTCAATGATCTGTCTGCAGGCGCTTTTCTGAAACTGGAGCTGGTCGTTCAGCTCCTGCGCGCGGCTACAGCTCAACATCCTCCATGCCATCATCAGACCAAGCCCGCCTGCGGAATGTCCATATTCAGAAGGTCTGCCTTATCCGATCACAGAAGGTCGTTTTTCATTGCATGATCTCTGCCAACCCGGATGTCAGCTACAACCCCTCCGTCCGGCATCCTGCTGTGCTATTCTGGCCATGGCCCATGCTGTCCGCTATCTTGCTCCCGAGACATATGCATGCTTCATGTTTGGCAACATAGGAGATAAACTCCTCATGACATACGGGCTACGCCATACACCGGCAGCGTTTGCACGGCTGGAGGGTTCGGCAAGGGAGCGCAAGTAGGAGGCGACGGGGTTGGGGGAGGAGGGTGCGCTCCCATCAAGCACCGGGCGTGAGCAGCAGGGGAAATCCTGTGAAGCCTGTGAAGCCAGAGGTGTGGATCCAGGGCTCCCGGGCCCCACCCCCCCCAATGGTATGCGCCCCTTGCGTTTAAGGTTATGGGGTGTTGTGGCGTAGGCTTTCCCTGCTCTGTGGTGTGGTTGTGGGTTGGTTGTAGGGTTTGGGGCTGAATATTCTAGGAAGTAGAGTTTCAAGGCTTCCCGTTTAAGGGCGTAGGATTCCAGGGTGTTCGGGTTTTGGGGTTTTGCAGTGTTAGGGTTTGAAGGTTTCAGGATCATGGTCGTCTCCCCCCCCCCCTTGTGGTTCGGCTCTGGCGTGGTTTTAGGGGGTTAGGGTTTCGGGCTTCTGGTTTAAGGCTTTGGTGTTTCAGGGTTCAGGCTTCTGGGTTAGAACTCTAGTTTTTTTGGGGGGCTTTAGGGTTCAGGGTTCTGCTCATGGATTTCGTTCGGGCTCTAAGGCTTCTCGTTTTGGGTTTGAGGAGGTTTAGGTCTCCGGGACGACTCTGCACGAGGAAAAGAACCTCGAGAAGGATCCCCTGAGGGGATGACTCCGAGGATGACAAGGGCAAGCTCACAGGGGAACAAGGGGCAGAAGGCCTTTTGCCCTCAAAGGAGACTGATGTTTTGAGGTCCGGAGACTGGTCCACAAGAGACTCAGGGATGGTCTCTTCGTGAGTTGCAACTGGTGAAGTCACTTCGACACCGCTTACGAGTAGCATGTCTCGTGAGCTCTGTGTTGAGCAAAGCACGATGCAAGGGAGCCCAGACCTTTGTAGGAAAGCACTCCGCGGTTTTAGTTTTGCGTTTGCAATCAACATGTACTTGCCTTACAGAGAAGGTGTGGATCGCGATGTTGCATTTGGCCCGATGTTTTGCTGCTTGCGTTTGGTTGAGTCACGACGGCACTCTGCTATAGCTTCCGCGAGTTTAATCTCGAAGCCACCACATCGTCACGACATGCCATGTGTCCGAATTTATAAATACATGCCTGGTGGAGATGGTTAGTATTGCTGGCTCAAGCAACATGGCATGCTGTGGTTTGGACCCGAGTTTTTGGTCAGACACACCTGACGGCCTCCGAGCTTGCACCGTGTCAGTGAGGAAGGCACCGCACGGGTTACAGTCTCACACACCCGCCTTCTACTGTAGAATTGAGGCTTGGGGTCACGAATTTCAAATGTATGCTCGGCGGGTAACAGTTAAGAGTTTGGACTCGTCGAGCCAGAAATAGTCATGGACCAAACTCCTGAGTTCCCATCAGAGATGCATATTCCATTGTCTGAGAACAAGACCCACTTCATTTCAATGGCAGCATTCTTCCGGCCACTGGTTACGGCTTCGATCTGGAGGGCCTTGACAAGAGTGTATGATGGTACACTCGCTTATTCAAGAGAAAGCGTCAAAAACCGGAAAGAGTTTGATCTTGAAGTGCAGTAGACTCAGTAGATTTTCAAGTCAGTGAGCAACATCTGCTCAGCCTACTGCGCAGCCTCGTATCTATCTAGTCGGTTGTTCTCCTCGACAATGCGACGCTGGTTCTCCTGCAACCAAAGAAAGTCCAGCAGAAGCTTTTACACCTGCAAAGCACCTGGAATGGGTAACACTGTCATTAACAAGAAAGGGCAGTGTGTGCAATGCACTAGTTCAAAAATTCTCGGAGCATGTTCACATGATGCTGGTACAGGCCTGAGGTTAACAATGCACACCTGCTCCCTCAGCGTTGCTCGCAAGCAGCATGGTAGACAGAAAGGATGCTCATGAGCAGATCGAAAAGAGCAATTCCTGATCATCGAAACGGACGCGAATGCTGGTCAGCCTGGCAGCGCCAACAAATGAAACCATCTTGAGCAACCACGCAATGGCCCGGTGTGTCACAACGTGCACCAGCCGTGCAACTTCCTAGTGACAAAGCTGCCTGGCCACAGCACAGCTAGCAGCTAGGAGCACGGCTCTTCCCAGGTTTCCGTTCGGAACCGCTCCAGTTCAGCCACCGATTTCTGAGCCCACACATATGTCTTACGTCTTCAATGCAAACGTGCAACCATGTGCTCTTGTAAAAAAGCTAATTACACAGTAAGCCTCAGACCGCATACTGCTCCTTGCCCAGTGAAACCTGCTCTGCTGCATCGTCCTTTTTGGTCTTTTTGCCTTCGGCCTCCTCCTGGCGCAAAACCGAAACAGCAAAACCAAACTTTCGATGCTCACATGTACATCCCACCGGCTATGGGACAGCTTCCATGCTAGACTGGATTGTCGGTTTGGAATGGTGCACATAAGATGAATGTTCTTTGCGCATCGCCCGAACACCCAGCCTTGTCCTGCTTGAGCTTCGCCTTGACCAAAAAACAAAACGCTGATATCATTTTCCGAGAATCTTGACAACGGCATTGATTCCAGACTCATGATCCGTCGATATGCATGTCCGAAGCAACACTGGGTTGGTTTCGATGTAGCTTCCAAACCCGGGTACGAGGAGCAAATATGTGTTCCGCACGCCTCTGCGCGCTGCCGCCTGGCTGCAATGCGCTCATCAGAACCTGTGCAGGACCCACCCTCCAAGTCTACCAAATACACGGCGCCTGGAGCAAAAAAAGCTAAGAACAACCACCGTGCATTGCAGATTCTCAGGCTGCCACTGCCCAAGTTTGATATTTCAAGGGTGTTCATTGAGCTCGCCATCGCGCGTCACCCAGACCTGACCGCTACACCAGATGATATGCGAGAGACAAAGTCTTCATCCTGTGCCAAAGTTTTGCCACTTGAGCCTTATAGGTGAAGGACCGGGGACGGCTTGCAAAGCCACACACCCACTTGAACCCAGAACATCTTTGCGCGCTCAGATCAACTGCAGCTCTTCAGGTTGCGACAGCTGCAACAAGCATGCATGAAACAACAGTTGCTAGCAACAGCATGTTTTTGATGTACAGTCCCACGCACCTCGCCCTCCCGGACCTGTGGGCCCAAGGAGACCGCTTCCACCTGCTGCTTAGCCTTCGGGCACAAAGACTCTTCTAACTAATTGGATTGGAACGTCGGCAACCAGAACGCCTTGCATGCGGCATGAATTAGAGAACCCATGAATTGTCAAGCTTCGCGGACCTTCGGAGGCATGATGCTGGACCTACATGCTCCTTCAAGCCAAGAAACGGGGCACAATTGAAATGCGAACACCTTATATTCGGTTGCAGATGCGCAAGCGCGCACAGAATTTGAAACAAACGTGGAAAATCTAAACCAACCAAATCCAGCTGCCAAACCTTTTTCACTTTGCGCGAATTCATCACACCACGTTTTGACAAACAATAGCATGCGGCATGCACTGATAGGCGTCCGCTGAGATGCCTCTGCATGGAATTCCGAAATTTTCATGCTAAAGCCCGACACGAAAACACCTCGCTTAAATGCACAGCTGAGGTATGGCTCTTCAGCTTTGCTAGTAGTGGTTTGGGGCGCCAACGTAGCATGCTTAGCTATTTTCATACTAACAGCTGAACCACATAGTCCAAAAGCAGCATCTTGGCAACTCCAACCAAAATGTACAGGTCGCTACGCTTTGCCAATGTGCCATAAGTTGCACTTGCCAGCTTTGAGATGCCCAAAGACCCCGAAAACCGCTCTCCACCAACTCAGCCTGGACAAATTTGATCGCCCGGAGCAAAATGCAACGTCGAAGGCATAAGGGGTCAGGAATGACTGTCTCGGATCGCGCCCAGCCGGCGAAGCCCTGCCAGAGCCTTTCCTTTAAGACTGAGCCACCAATCCTCCACCCGTGCCGGGCGCTTCAACATGCCTCGGTCCCAAAGTGCCATTCTGAACTCTCTGAACTCCTCAGGAAGACGTCAAGAAGAAGGAGGAAGCGAGAGTGAAAGGAGCCTCACCGGGGAAGCCGAGAGTGGCATCGAAACCTAAACCTAAAGGCACGAAGACAACCGAGGGCAGCAAGGCGCAGCGACCACAACATACGGGAGCAATCCATTCACACGGCCTCAAGATGCAGGGTGCATGCTCGGGAATCATTGGAATCTATCTGCGACACAAAACGACAAGCGACTGGACTAGCCGTCAGGCTTTCTGTGCACAAAAACGATAGACGGTTGGACCCTCAAGAGGGTTGACGAAGTCTTCACCCTTCCAGCTCCACAAGGGAGGCCGGCTGCGAAGTTAGGGCCTGGCGACCAACCATTTCGCTGCGGGAACCCCGTATCTCCGCTACAAACGTCGACAAAACGAAAACAAGCCAAACTGGCCTCCACACATTTTGCCAACGTGCTCCTCTTCAAACATGAGGTCGATGCGGGGCTATGTTTGTTTCAAAGCAAGCACGTTCAGGCTCTTATTTATTCGACATTGTAAGAATGCAGAAGTGCAACACAGGCCTACAATGGCGTATAGTTTTCCACGGATGCGACAATCACGAAGCGAGGCAGAAATGCAGTTCTGAAGTACTAAGAGCGACGGAACCCCTCTGCCTGAGTGCCGAACTGCACGAGTCCAGCAAGTTGTGAATGTTGAAGCCCTTGCAGTGATATGAGCCTGCTGCTTGGGCTGTGGAGCCACGGTTCCAAAGTTGGGGCCTAAACACAGCAACGAGAGCAGCGCTAAAATAGACACGTGTGTCAACAAAACAAGAGATCACATGCTACGTTCAGGCTCCTATGTACTTTGGACTTTGGCACGGCAAAACAACAAAACAATATAGGAATGCAGCCCTGGTACACTTGGAACAGCGGATGAGTCAGAGGAGTTGGAGGAATGAAGTGAAAAAGTACCGATCAACATTGGGCACCTTGCTGTACATGTTCCAAGATCGATGGGGTCTACCACGTTTGACCAAATGTTTGGCGAATAAGATCAGTTGTACCAAGCCTTCGATGAGCACACGTGGGTTTATCATACTGCAGGCATGTGGCCCTTTGGCAATCTTAAAATTCCGTGCTTCGCGTGCCCAAAAACAGCCAGCGTACCTGGGTAAGACGACCAGTGGCTGCAGCAAAATCGATGCGAATGGTTTCAGCTTGCTGAGCCCGCGCAGCGCTACATCGCTTTGAGTGCTTGATGTAATTCGCCTTGCTTCAAGTTACGTGGTTGCGCATGCGCAGCACGCACTTCAGCTTTATCTTGCCAACAAGCAGCGACAACATTGCAGCAAAAAACAAATCAACAAGCTGTTAAGCACGGC